CGTTGTGAAGTTTCTTTGCGGCAAGTGCGTGAATATAGGTGCGTCTTGTACACAGGTGCGTCTTGTATACTAATTTTTACTTAGAAACTTGAGAAAAGTGGGGGGTGCGTCTTATTTAACGATGTGTCTTATACACCGGAAAATACAGTAACTTGTGATGAGAAGACATTGAGTAATATATGACCTTCTTAAAGGAGCTGTGCAACGATTTTAATGTTGAAAGAATTTGCATCTTCTACTTTTTGCATTATTTATCTTGTCACAAGGACAGAAAATACATCTTCCTTCAAAATGTTGCGATTCCGCCGCATAATCGCGAGGCAAAGATTAGAATATTTCCCGACCTGCAATAGCGAGCGGCGGCCATGAGAACCATGCAGCGTGACGTCAAAGGGGACTTGTAAAAAGATAGGAAGTTGTGCAAATACCTGCTCGATAAAAGGTAATTTTTCTATAAATCTTGTCGTTCCAACATAAATATAAATACGTCAAAAACCTGGTATCATCGACAAAACTTTGATTATGTAGAGTTTCAGTGGCGCCATCTATCCGAGGTCAACAAAACCATCGGCTCTATCTGCTATTGCGAACAGCCGCCAGAGAGGGGGACTGGGGCAGAGCCGGACGGGGGATGGCCGGACCCGGAAGAGACTTCCCTCCTGTCGCCATGTTGATCGCGCTGCGCAAGCAGGTGGTCACGTGGTCGCGAGCGGGTGAGTTCTCGCTGCTCACTGATGGCGCTAGAGAGAGAGCTTCACCGGAACCCCGTGCATCCCCCTTTCACGTCACAGCACACGTGACTTGGAAGAAGGTGAAGGGGTTGAGAGGTGCCGAAAACCTCAATCTTTGTCAGTTTTTCAAATAAAACTAGGGCATGCAGGCAAAAGTGTTTTTTTGTTCTTTACTTTAGAAAGGTCGAGACACCAACTCCCAAATTATTTATGCAAAGCACTGAAATTGTTGCACAGCTCTTTTAAGAGAAAAATGACATCAAACCTCCACTTAAATTGAGCTAGACATTTTCTACAACTGGCAAGAGTTGTACAGTGGTGCTGCACTTTTGTACGTTATAGAAGGTCATGTTATCAGTTGGTTTTGTATTTGTGTTTCCTTGCATTGCCTCTTAACACCCCCCCCCCCCCAATCCATCCCTCTCTCTTTATGGGCCATTAGCTCACAAAGGAATGTTGGCAAACGCCCCTGCTGCGGGCAGTAGAGAACTGTACACACAACACATTACCATGAAGAAATCTTTCACATGAGGAAAGTACTGTGAAAACAAGGCGAGGGAAGTAGTATCTGATGAGTCGGTATCTTGGTGTTCAACGTTGTGTGAGGACAAACAAACCAACTTACCCTTTCTAAGTATTCATGCGTACCCAATGGGATACAGATAGAACTTGATAATCACGAGGGTTTTGTTGTTGGGTGTTTTCATGTCGGTTGATATATCTCTGTAGAATATATACTATATGAAAGTCATGTCCTTGGGAAAAGAACTCAGCTATTCATACAGGGTGTCTCACGAAACACTGGCCAAATCGTTCCTGTGAAAGGTGTGCATCGCATAGATAAAGGGTTGATTTAACATTGGTTTTTGTCAAAGGGTAAATCTAGGAAAAGATAAGTGTTTGATAAAATTAGGTCAATAATTGATTTTAAAAATTGTCTTTATAATTAATAAATTTAAGGGTACCATTTCAAAAACATGGTGGGCATAATTGAAAACTATAAAATCCAGTCATATTGTGGAGATATAAGCCATGCGCAGCCTTTTACGGTGCTCTGTGAAATACACTCAGTTTGGACAAATTTTGAAAGGGGGTTTTAGGAGGCAGCGTAAGAAAACATAAATATAAAGTTAAATTAGGTGCTTTAATGTCTCAATAGAAGCTCCATAACTTTTTACACCCTACAATAGACCCTATCCGGAATTCAGACTGGCAACTTTGATCACTATCATCATCTGAAAAATGGCATATGTGCTATACTTATAACAGCCTCCTGTTTACTGATGAAGGAAGAAGTTGAAGACGCTCCTAAGCAGATGATTCGATGATTAAACATTTTAGATGTTAGCGCGACGTGAAGCATGAATTTGATGGAAGATCTGCGTAAGCGTTCATTTCTAACACGGACCCAGCCTATCTGTTAGTAGCACACACACGGCTTCAAAGCCCCTTGATGTATAGCATTTTATCGAGGCGTCTATGTGGGCTGGCTTCTCGTTCGGACTGGTTGCATCTTTTTCGCCATCAACACTGAAAGAGATTTAAAAAGAATTGGGCAGTGACATGCGCATTATCATTTCCCACTGACTTTCGAAAGTGTGCCCCATACAATGCTGCAGAGCACAGGCTCATTGCCGCCATTAGTACGGTAAAAGTTAAACTGCCATTTGAGTCACCAGATGGCGCTGAATTCCGGAAAGGCACTGCTCTACAGTCTTTGTCACCACTGTACAGCCTTTGTCGGTTGTAAAAAAATGTTTCCTTGGAGCCAACATTGTGCAGCAAAGCCCTTATAACGAAGGAGGCTAGCTCAATTTGAGTGAAGGTTTGTTGTCGTTTTTCTTTTAAGGAGGTCATATTTACTCAAGATGATAATTTTGATATATTTTATGTCTTTTCTATAAAGTAGTTTGTTGGTAAATAATTTGCGAATGTGTCTCTAAAACGTGTTTATTTGACCTGTTTAGTAATTTTGCAGCGAAACTGTTATGTGCTAGGATCTGGAGAAAAATGCGTCCATCAATTTTAACAAAAAACTCCCATTTCAATGGCGCTCCTTCATTCTGATTGGTTGTGTCAAGTATAAATAAAAAGAGGGGGCAACCTGCGTGAGTTAGCCTTCGTTGGCATTATATTCGATAGTGAGATCCTGATCCCTTGTTATCATCTACCATCACCGGCTTATCTCAGCTAGGAGTGTGCTGCGAGGAGGCTGAGGTCAGAGCACTCCTATCTAATTTTTTCTTCTTTCGCTTCTGCGATGCTGATAAAGAGACTTGGGCTCAATCAGAAGAAACTGTCCTGTAGGTGTGCCTCAAGAAATTGAGTTTAGAACTTTCCCATAAGTGACCATAAGGCAATGATCACTTTAGTCACTTATAATTAAATAAAGACAATTAAAGAATGAAGTCGTGTACACGTCTTCATTGCAATCATAAGTAAATCATATAGCTGTCGTAAAGATGAAAGCTTCGCTGGTCCTTTATCTTCACGTGAAGTGGATGGGCTCTACAACTTTTGTTTTTCATACAAATATTTTTTTAAAATTTTTAATATTATGTTTACATGTTGTAAACTTTTCATAAAATGAGTAGAAAAAATTATTACTGTGTGTATGCTTCGGTGTGAAATTACAGCTGTGCAAAATACCACAGCAAAACCTTCGCAATCTACACACCTCGAGCTTCATAATGTTATATTTCCGGAAGAACATTAGTCTTTAACATACCGTAAAATACTGGGCAGGCGCACTCAAACTTTGGAGATAATCACAAAAAAATGGGGGATGAGCGCTTGTCTGGTCATCAATTTTACATATAAATGTACTGTGCATATTTTCTCAGATCTTACAAATTTGATGTGGACTGGGCGGATCTGTGGTATTCTACGGTATATTTTTACATAAATATAAAAAATATGACCCGGTCTATGATTGCATGATATTACGTGGAAACACCCTGGTATGCATTGCCAGAGGGGAAATGGGGGGCATCAGATATTTTCGGAAATGGTGAGCGAATATTGGATGAAGTCAAGTTGCCACAGAGCAATTTGTTTACTCTCGCTAGCAAACTATTTAACAAAATCAACTTGTAAGGCACTTATTTGTATTGGTCTTATAGCCACCATTAATTCACTCTGAGAAATTATCAGACGACGTCTCGAAAGACGGTAGCATGTTTTCACATGACGATATGCCATTTGTTTTGTTTTCAGACTTGAAGAATGTACTTTGAAGTCGGGAGTTGTACTTTTCTCAGAAAGTTTGGGAAAAAAAAATGCTCCGAGTAAGGTACAAGTACACGCTGAGAATGTACTTCAAATAAAGTGCAAGTTTTACAAACTTACTTGAATCAGTACCTTAAGCACAATGTACTTGAGGTACTTCCCAACACTGGAAACTAGACAATTATTCTTAAACCTTGAAAGGTAAGTGTAAAGATGTGAGCGTCCCAGATATTGGGACATTTGTGCTACTATATCATATAAAGTTCTGATATGGTTATTGAAACAGTGAATATTTTGAATAGTTCAGCTGACTTTGAATTATTATTTAGGACTGTACATAGATTCAACTAGTTTGTCATACCAATGTCAGTTTTTTCATTAATGTCCAATTTTGCTTCCACTTTTGTGGAAACAAAAATGGAAACATTTTTGTTTCCACACACACTCCTCTGCCGGACCTGGGCAGAGGAGTGTGTGTGATGATGATGATGACTTCAAATAAAAATCTGTTGAGAACTAGCACCTGTCCCTGTTGTTTTCATTTCTTCCATGTCCTCGTTTTGTTCACTTTTTAAACCTTTTAACTTTTTTTTTTTTTACATTTGTAATTTGAGTGGAATTTGTGTAAGTAGCATTCCCAGACATCACTTAATTTGTATTTAGGAAATTGAAATGGGCCAAGATAAGATCCAATATTTTTAACCCAAATTGAGACAGAACTAAAAAACCTGCAAATGTCTAACCTCATGTATGAACTATGCCCCATATTTGAAGGGTTCTAGGGGACAAGATGTGTGTCGTTCAAGGGAAAGGTTTTGGGATAAAAGCACATAGGCATTTAACCTTGGGTAATAATGGCACACATTCATTACAAAAGATCACTTTAACTTGGCCCATTCAAATTCTCAGATCTGCTCGATGCCTTTAGTACTACAGCTTTGCCTCCGGCAGATCATTTCATATTGCGGTCTCCTTCGTCTCTTGCATGTGCTTCGATCCGGGATCATTTCTTTAAAATGCCCGACGTTGATCCCCTGTCAGGTGATCCACTCAGTGAGCATCTTCATCCTGAGCCTCTTCCTGGTGGAAATCTGTGCCAAGCTGTATGCCTACCGACTGCGCTTCTTCCGCCACAAGTTGGAGGTCTTTGATGCCATCGTGGTGATTGTGTCCTTTTCCCTGGACGTCGCCTTCCGCAACCCGGAGTCGGCTGCCAACGGAGCCGGCCTCATCATTGTGCTCAGGCTGTGGCGAGTGGCGCGCCTGCTCAACGGTGAGCTTGGTGGTTCTCTTTGATTGGCAGCACGCTAGATTGCACACGATGAACTTCGCTGTCTGCCTCGACGCTAAGCTGGCATGCCACGACGGGACAGAACGAGGCGCACGCCAGCTATAGTCTTTCACAAGGTGAGAAGGGCATGGAGGAGCTTTAGTTGTCCCACCTGCAGTGCAAGCTTCCTACCTTTGGCAACATTTTGGCGTTCGTGGACCTCGAGTGCACGCGCACAGCCAAAGCGCAAAGCGCGGCAGAAGGTATAGAGCAGGTGATGGAGGCCGGCCGTTTGAAAGTCATGCCCTGCCGTTCTCTTTCTGTCACCAACTGTAGAATAGGCTTAGAAAAAAAAAAAGTCACCGGAGAAAGCATTGACGCACAAGTTGGTGTGTTCTCATTGGCACCTCTTCACCCCCGACCCTGCATCTCTCCGTTACCCTCTTGCAGGGATTGTGCTCACTGTGAAGTCCCAGGCAGAGCGCCAGCTGGCCAGGGAGGGCAAGTTGCGGGAGAAGCTGATGCAGGACCTGCTGAGGAACCGTGACTACTGCAATGCCCTCGAGCAGGAGATCGACTCCCTCAGGGGCCTACTGCACAGCCACGGGGTCAAGGACCTGCCACCCACTGCGGTAGTGCAGGAGCCGCCCCCTGCCGCCACCGGAGACGCCGTGCTGCCGCAGACGACGCTGGTGGAACGTTGACGCCGACGTCTGCGCCGCCGAGCGCTTGCGGGAAGTATTGTTAACGTCTGTGTGTTTCGAGAGGGGTCGTCGGAAACGCGTCGGTACGACGACTTTGGGATGGACGGCTGCGTTGACCAGTCGGAGACGTGCCTGGAGCACGACTCCAACTGTCATGTTTGCCGCGTCCTCAAAAGTTGTCCCTTAATTTCCGCCCAATGACGTTGTAAAAGTGCCGCAGTGTTTCATCTGCCGTGATCCTGGCGGCAGCGCGGCGGTGGGCGTGGATGCAGCGGACGTCTGTTCCCCCGTAGCTACGACACAAGCGGGGCAATAGCGTCTACTGCAATGCCGGTGTTGCCTAGGGCCTTGAAAACAAGAATGAGAGTGTGTGGAAGTTGTGGGCCGTGTTACAAGCAGTCGCACATCTTTTATGATGTCATTAGAAAGTTGGCTGTGTTATAATTTCCGTACCGCCAAGCGGAATGCTTTAAGGGCGAGGCAGAAACGTGTTTAGGGTGCCTCGACCAAGTGCAAGCTTTAAAGTGCCATTCATCATCGACATCATCATTACTTATTTTCTCGGGGTGCCAGATGGGCTTTTCTAAGGTCCGTTTGGAGTTTTTCTCTTATTAGTGTTTTTCTCCGAAAACTTGCCACTGATAGGTTTATATAAAGCGCATCCAAATTCGTACCTAAGAAAGAATTAGATTTTTTCCCCATGTCTTCTACGAATATAAATACCTAGAAGACTGGACTTGCACTTTGCGGTGCACAACCCAGTTAACCCAGTGCAGAATTAGCGCCCTATCATCCATGTTTATACCATGCATGAGAGTCTTCCACTAGTGCTTCTATACTCTAAATTGGACAAAATGAACAGGCAGTCAGCCCTAAATGAACTGTGAACTAGAGATCAGATTGGGCCAGAATTTTAAGGCCTGACCCAAACATGGCACGAGTCTTACTATGGTTGGCAAATTTCGGCCTGAGCCCAACTGTTATTGTTAAGACGAGCCCTACCTGAGCCCAGCCTGAACATGTTGTATGTCTGGCTCCCAGGATTTTCTGAAACGGAAGTCAAACATACAACATGTTCAGGCTGGGCTAAGGTTGAGCTAGTGTTAAAAATAACAGCCGTGCTCAGGCCAAAATTTGCCAACCTTAGTGGGATTCCTGGGGACGGTCATTTCTGTCCCCAGGAATTCCTGGGGACAGAAATGACCGTCGTACAAAAACAAAAAAAAGAAGCGAGGGAGCGCTTGTTGGAGATTGAAACCGTTTTTCCTTTGTTGTTAATCTGATGCTGAAAAACTGAGCTATCCTTCAAGAAGAAGAAAAGGGTTCATTCGTTTTTCTTATTAAATTAAGTAACAGGGACAGAAATGACCGTCGTACAAAAACAAAAAAAAGAAGCGAGGGAGTGCTTGTTGGAGATTGAAACCGTTTTTCCTTTGTTGTTAATCTGATGCTGAAAAACTGAGCTATCCTTCAAGGAGAAGAAAAGGGTTCATTCGTTTTTCTTATTAAATTAAGTAACAGTGCACATAGGTCTGGAAAGAAGGTTGAAAGTTTGACGATTGCGCGGGCAAAAATGGTCCAGTGATTTAGTCTTTTGCTGATGTTCGAAACGACACAATACTGTCTGTGCTAGTACATACCTCTGGAATTCTGTTTTGTGTATATTTTGACAGCGGAAAGTTTGTCAGCCCAGAGGGCAGTTGGTGTCTCTGCTATATATGAGAAATTTAGCTAGTGCACTATAGCACTGCTAGTCTGGGTGCTTTGGCCACAATAGGGCGGAATGGGTTCTCAAACTCGACCACCAACAGTTTTTAGACATAAACTTCACCTCAGACTCGCATGGCACAATTCACAGCAAATTTAGCAAAATGTTTGTGCCTTTAGTTTTATATTTGTTTTAACAGAAACGTGAACAAACCACGTTGTGTTTACATTCAGGAACACTGCCTATAACCATTGTGTGAATATCTGAAGACTGGATTCAGTTACAAAATTTCACCACTTCTATTGTCGGTGACAGGTCACTAGTGAAGTGGAAGCTCCTCCCACCTCTTTCCACTTCAGCAAAGTGAATGCTGGAGAGGAGGCAACCTTCTGTCCATCGTCCGCTCTGCAGCCAAAGTGGAAAGAGGTGGGTGAGCTTCCACTTTACTCTTAATCTGTCACCGACTGTAGTGAATAAAAGAAGGGAGCTCTTACTACACCCAGTCATTTGTTTTGTGTGTAGGTGAAGATTTAGGAAAATGGAAAATTTGTGTGAAACATGTAATGCCTGCGGTGCATCACCGGTGCGGTGACTTTACACATTATAACTTGCACTCGCTCTCCAACACTTTCCGCATCTTCAAAGATGTTATGAGGGATTAAGTCGGGTTGTTGGGCCTAGACATGTCCGAGCCCGTAAAGCGCGCCCACATATTGGCCCGAGCTCGACCAGACAATCTGGTCGGGATCGGGCTTTTGGGCTTGCCCAGACCCGCACAGATCTCTACTGTGAACGACACTTCTAACTATCCTGTTGAGCTAGCCAATTTCTTTGGAATGCTCATACATCTGTGCTAAACCATAATGTGGATTTACAAGATCTGCAGTGTGCCTTGTACCTCCTCAAAGTTTTGTCACTGCTGTTTGATACATTTCTTGTCTTAATGTAGCACATGTACTATAAGCTTTACTGTTGTTTCACTACGAGGACGGTTGCTTTGAGACAACCAACCCCCACCTGCATTGAGAATGTATATTTTTGAGGTTGGCCATGCTTCGATAGAGAAGTGCAGGTCATTTTAATACATATTCTGCCAAGCAGAGAACAATACTCAAAACAGTTTGGAGTGAAATCGAATCTACAAACCGATCCTTCTCATCCTCCCCCGACCCCCCCCTTGATCGAGTCATGTAAATCAGTTTGTTGAAAGTATGCATCGGCATTCGCGGCAGAAATGTAATTTGTTGGCAGGCACATGTTATCTTCAAAGCGAAGTGGAAAGCCTGTTCTTGCCCTTTCTGTGATAGCTTTTTTTTTATACATAACTGCAACCTAGTTTATGTGACAGATGTGCCACATGGTATATAAGGCAGCAAAAATCTTCAGGCTTCCTCTAAAATCAGCCAGAAAAATTGGCGCCTGCTTGTAGCGCTCTGAAATTTTCATCAAAGGCATACTTTAGTGGTGGATTTTATCTTGTGAAATTTCAAGGCATAGCTTCCTTCCTGCAAAGAAGGAGACTAACAAACCTGCCCCAGCCAATGGCAGATGACACAAACGACCGAGTCAGTGACAGTTGTACTTGTGGTGCCATCTCCTAATGAGCTAGCACAGCGGGCAGACCATCAGGTTGTCTGCTTTGGACAGAGTGCGTATTCTGCTCACTGTGTCCCTATCTGGAGATGTGCCACAAGCACAGCCGTTGCCTAGTTGGTCACCGGTGTTGTCAGCCACCCAGACTGTAGCAAACTTTTTGGTCTCATTTTCCACAGGAAGAGGGAATCTCTTTGAAATTTGACGAGGTAAAATCCACCACAAAAATACATGCGTTGATGAAAATTTGAGATTGGTATGTTCAAGCATAAAATTTTCTGGCCGATTTTAGGACGAGCTTGGTGATTTATGCCACCCTATATTCTCTAGTGCTCATGCACATTTTTGTAGTTTTGTAAGACCTTTCTTATAAACTGGCCGATAGTCTTTAGATAGGCTGAATGGATCGTCGTTCAAGGGGTCACAAAAAGGTATTTTTTTGCATCTTTACAAATGTATTATGTGCATATCTTTAATTAATTTTTATGTTGTGAATTGACATTGTGCATATTTTCCAAAATTTGTAATCTGACCTTGTTGTTGTTGTTTTTGTACGTATACTATATACATATATATACCATCTTCAATAGCAAGGCAATATTTTTCCATTGTTTACAAAAGAAACCACACCTGCATGTTATTTGCCTTATTGCAAAGTGCCATGTTTATTGTCAACAAAACTTCTGAAATAAACGAAGCATTTGCTATCCCACAGGAGCTGTACGATTCTCTTCACTGTGTCGAGAACCATTCTTAAGATCTGAACACATGAAATTGTAAAAGTCGCAAAGGACACCGAGCAAAGTCACAGAACCAAAACAGATAACAGCCATGGCGCCCTTACTTTGTCGTACGTCAAACGGAAGGCGAGTAGTAATCACAAGCGCACAAACAGCCTAGCCATTGAAGCATTGCTGATAAAACAAAATATACTGCAATTTTAGAGCGCTACAAACAGAGCTACCTACACAGTAACTGCTATTTGACTATTTAACCTCGCCTTGCTCAAATCACATCTCGAGATATCGAGGTGATATTATTGTAACACGAGCACAGAGTGTCTTATATCTTTTTCACTTTGACTAGGAAAATAATCCTTGTGAGAAAGAGAAAGAAATAAAGAAGACTGCCAAATTGGATTTTAGAACTACTTATTGCAAACTGAAGTAAAAAAAATAAACATGACTCAGGTTCAGAGATTGAGAGAATAAGAGCGTAGTGAGACCACACTATGAGGTAGTTGCCTTCCAGATCTAACTTTTGTAATCGTCACTTTCGAAGTGGTGGTGCTTACTCTGGAAGGTGTACCAAAGGAAAATGGAGACCACTGGCCCAATTGCCTCAATGTGTTCACTTCTCACAGTGAGAGAGTTCATACTGAATGTGGACTCCTCTAGTCACTTGGCACATTCGCTGCAACACACTAAACAAAGCCGTGACCACTGCAATTAAGCACTCGCATCAACCCGTTTCCAGTTCGCAGAGAACGACAGGCGTGACAACCTTTGCGCTAGCCCCACACCAAACGATTACAGATGACACCTTTCGCCGCTTCCGGGCAAACCCTACTCCGCGAAAAAGTAAAATCCAGTTGCGCTCGCGCCGAAGTGAGAATATTGGTATGTCGGCTTCTGCCCGCCGCCGAGGACGATGTAGCGATGCGAAGCACGCTTTAAAATACTTTAGCTTCTCTCGGCTTGCCGGCAGGGAAGAGATGCACGTGGAATGAGGGGCTGGCATGAAATGATGATGGAGGGTGGCGTGGGTATGGGTTCACCTGGACGCCATGTGCGCCCAGTTCACCGGGGCAAAGAATGGATGGCACCGGATGTCTTCGGACCCCGTGGGGCCATGGCCCAGGCGTTGGTGAGGGTGGTATGCCAAGAGCTGAAGGGCGGAAAAAAGGGGCACGATTAGAATGCAAGCCCTTTCTAGGATCCGGCAGGCTTTGAAAGACAGTGTAATACAGCCAGAGGGTGTCTGTGATTCTGCTCTACTAAATTAATGTGAAGTTACTTTGTAACAGGGAGTTGTTAGTTTGCACTTATTTCTGCATGTTGCGTCGTCTTTAGACTCGGCGTCGTTGTTCGTAATCCTTCGCAGCACAGTTTAATCAAAGCTTGCAACAGAAAACCAATTTATTTCATTTAACGGCATTGTAACGGCAACATTTTGCACGCATGTCCATGGGAAAATTCTGTCATTATCAGACAAGTTTAACCAACACACTCCAATACTCGCATATTCTCAGTGCTTTGGCTTCCAATTTAAACAATACCTGAGGACAAAAGATAAACTAGCAGCAGAGGATTTCGCTGGGAGAGTCAACAGATATTCACTTGTTACTTGAAGCTGAAGTGTAAACAGGGCAGAAGAGCCACCTGCAGCTTGTTTACAATTTCTATCTACCTGCTTGCATCACCTCTCACTGAGCAGAAATCCGCAAATTGCCTCAGTACATCTCGACAACCGCAACAAAGACGAAGTTGAGAATGCACAATCCCCACTGAATAAAAATGGAGACAAATTCGTAAGTAATGCTGCCGACATTCTACAGAAAACAATCTCGACAACGAGAACATTAAACTCCATTCGTTACAAAAGTCCCACAGATCTTCCGAAATGGCACAAAGCGTATGTTTGCCCTTGCAACTCAAGTTTTGGCTCGGCGTAACTCTGACCCATCACGCCTACCGACCGACACCCCTTAGCGAGCCGACGGCGAGCTTCCCCACCTTTTCGAGCAGGTCTGCTGCTTCGACGGAGACGTGGGAGGGTATGCTGAGCCTCGTGGTTGATGTCACTCCGCCGGGGTGGCACACGACCAGGGGCTGCACAGGCCGTTTCCAGCACGTAAGTAGGCCACAGAGGCCAGCACCGTGAAAATGTTCCCACACATGTTAAAAAAAAATGCAGGAGGACACTTAAAGAGACACTGACAGGGTATTTATACAATGTTATACTCGCCGAGGTTTTTATTTGTATGTTACATGTGAGAGCCCAACTACCTAAAAAACAATTCGCGGATCGAAATTCGTTTTTTTTCTGACCGAAAACAGCCGATCGAGAACTGGCCGGTTTGAGTCACGCTCGCTCTCTTCTCCCTGGCCACGTGCCGTTTTTTATGGTTTAGACCAGGGGTCTCAAACTCACGTTAGGAGCCGGGCCGCATCCAGATATCCTAGGTTCGCAAGGGCCAGCGGGGGGGGGGGGGAAGGGGGGGTAGGTTTTGCAATAGTCGCCATTCGGAAGTGTGTGACGTCCGGTTTCTGATTTTGACCAACACGGGGTACATGCCAGATACCATCACCGCTTTTGACAACAGTCGAAATCTACACCAACCATGCTACAACTCATTTACTCAGTTTACCTGCGTAAATTATGTTGCAATCCGCAGCATTACAAAGATTATGTCCAAAACAATTTGTGAAAGCCAAGATATATTTATTCATGTGGACCACAAATATGGGAGCTAAAATTCTATGAACGCTGGCTTGACACCTGACAACGCTTAGCGGCAACGAGAAAATCAATGTCCGCCTTTAACCCTTGTGCGGAGACGATCCTCATGATCGATCGCAGATGTTCGTCGGTCATCCTTGACCGAAGTGTCGACTTGTTTACCTTTAGCAAGGAAAACAGTTGCTCGCACAAGTACGTGCTCCCGAACATGGCGATTATCCTTGCTGCTTGTTGGCGCAGCGAGGGAAAGTTTACCTCGTCGAGGAACTTGTAAAACTTCGAGACTCCGACGTCCTCAAACTTCTGCTTGAGTACAGTGTTCGCTTGCAGTTCACGCAGTTCCATCTGTAGTACAGGTGTAACGTCGTCCACTCGCACTGAGAAGGGCAAGAAAAAAGTTCAATTTCTCTTGACAGGCTGCTCACGTCCTAAAACCGTTCTTGGAATTCTTGTTGGAGATCACGCAGGAGGTCCGAAAAGGTGTCACACGATTCTTGGCTGGCGTGCCCTAGTGACTGGAGCGTCGGGAAATGGTTGAGTTTGAGCAGCCTCATTTGGCGCTCCCAGAGCTGTAACTTCGATTGAAACGCCTGGATGTCATTGTCGTAATAAGTTTGTCCTTCCCCTGAAGTTCCCCATTTAGACGGTTCAGGTACAGTTAAACCCGTTTATAACGAACAGCAGGAAACGCCACGATCAGTTCGATATAGCAAGTAATTCGATATAGCAAAAGCTATTTATAACGAACGAACGTTCGTTGTAAGGCGAGAACTTCTCTTTCTTTCTCATCTCTTCGCTTCCGCCTTGTAACCACGCGCTAAAAAGTTTTTTGTTTTTTTTTTGCATACGTGCAGAGTTTGTGTTTTTAGCTTATCTCCCCCCTCTGAATCGCTTCTTTTCGTAAGCAACGGTTTTGGAATGAATTTTTTTTTGTGCTGTGCATGCAGAAAGTATTTTTTAGCTTTCTCCCCCTTCTGATTCGCTTCTCTTCGCTCAGTTTTGTTCGCAACTTGAGCTTTTGCAATTTTCTTTATTTCCTACTTTTTTTTTTGTGAAAGGAACAGGCTATAAGACGAATATTTGCGCGTTTTTGGAAGCCTTCTTGGGAGAAAAACGTTCGATATAGCCAATAGGTTGTTCGTTATACAAAGTACTTTTGACATGCATTTTCATTTAAATTTTTTGTGAGTTCGATATTGAAAATAATTCGCTGTACGTGGGTTCGTTCTAAACGGGTTTCACTGTACTCGGTGATATCCGTGAGGAATGCGAGGGAGCAAAGCCAGCTGGAGTCGGACAGTTCAGCGACGGCCTTTCAAACGACCTTTCCTTTTTGCTTTTCAAAAAGGTATCAGTCTCGTGTCGAAGATCAAAAAACCTCAGCCACCGCACCTCAGTGTGGTACAAAATTTTGCTATGCTCGCTGCCAACCATCTCCAACAGAGATACAAACTGTCGATGGTTTAACGCTCTGGAGCGAATGAAGTTTACTGCACCAAACACAATGTCCGTGACTCCTTTCATCTGCAGTGACTTGCTGCAGAGTGCCTCTTGGTGTAAAATGCAGTTGACTGTTGCAAACCTCTTGCTGATATCCAGTCCAGTGAGTTTCGTCCTCAATCGTCCGACAAGGCCGCTTTTCTTTCCCACCATTGACGGTGCGCTGTCGGTTGCGAGGCACACCAACTTCTCCCATGGCAGCCCAGCACGATCAACCACTCGTTCGAGGGTGGAAATAATATCAGCACCTGTGGTTGTTCCTTTCATTGGCACTAGGTCCAAGAGTTCTTCTGTGACGTCCAAATCTTTGTTTACGCCCCTCACAAAAATGGCGCACTGAGTGTTGTCAGTAATATCAGTGCTCTCGTCGACGGCGAGTGAGAATGCGTTGAAGCCGTTGCATCGGGTGAATAATTCTTTCTCGACGTTTTCACTGAGCTCATTAATTCTTTCTGCCACTGTGTTTAGGGAAAGGCTTATCTTCTCAAATGTCTTCTTCATGCTGGGACAGACAGTGTCAGCAACCTCAAGCAGACACTTTTTTATGAGCAGGCCATCAGTAAATGGCTTGGACGATTTGGCGATAAGCTCGGAAACAAGAAAACTAGCTCTCACCGTTTCGTCGCTTGTTTTGACCGCCTTTTGGAAGAGGTCTTGCTGTTTTCCCGGCGACACCTTAAGTTGGGACACCATGTTCTCGCGGATCTTTCCGGTGAGGACTTCATACTTCTCTTGATGGCATGACATGAAGTGACGTCGCACATAATATTCCTTTGGCACAGCATCAGTCTGATGACAAACTAAACACGCCACCTTGTCTTGCGATTCCGTGAAGAAATAGGATAGTTCCCATCGCTCTTGAAAGAGCCACTTCTCGTCTTCAACTTTGCACTTTGCAGACGACTTGGACAAAGACATCAAGATGTCTGCTTGAGAGTTGACGTCGCAAGACTGAATTGTTGAAAGAGAACGCAACAACCTGTGCTGATCAGAGCAAATCTTGGGTGCACAACGCCACCGTCAACCGAAGATCACTGTGGGTGTGGAGAAAGGGTTACCGCATTGAGGGTAAAATGCTTTTCCAAGAACTTGAAGGGAAGCAAACAACGATGGAATCCACCAGTTATGACTGAGATAAACTTGGGTGCAAAGGATAAGTGAAGTGACAATGAACACAAAAGGGAGGGGTTGGGAGAACCCAACGCTTTGACGAGGTTATACTCCGTTCACCCCTAAGGTGACAGTGCGCTGGAGGCTACGTGTTCGCCGGACCAATCTTATTGCTTGACTTCGCTCAACGCACAGGAGTGCGGGGAGAGGGGGGTGGTCACATGGTTCAAGGCCGACAGTTGAGTGGTCCAGCAGGTGTGCAGCTTCCACCGCACTGTCAGCTTAGGAGTGAACGGAATATAGGAAGAAGGTGGGGTGGAATGGAGGGGGAGATTAGTTGCCCCGGATACGCCATCCGCATGTGTGAAGGTGTGGACCAGGATTGTACGAGGCTATGCTTCGACACTCTGCGCCAAAGACTCTTGGGAGCCCTTTGCCGACGCATCGGCTACTGCGTCCGGTCCGACTATCTATTTTTAACCAAAAGCGGCCCTCTCTCTTCCACAGACGCTATTGCATAACACCGCGCTCTACGTTTGCGTCATGTATCCTGGCATATGGTGAAAGTAGAACAGCTTGGACTTTATATTTTAGCAAGCTTTTTACACACTCGGGGTAAGCGAAAGTGAAAACATCATTAAAAAAAACAAAATTAAATAATAAAAAAAATTCACATGCTTGGCTGCGTGGGCCACAAAAAAAACGCCGCACGGGCTGCGTGTTTGAGACCCCTGGTTTAGACACAACCACCAAATATAATCTAAGTCGTGGGTCATCAAAGGCACGCACACAATATTAGAAATAGAAAAGAAATATGATACCCACTTTTTTGTGGCTTCTAAAAAGCTGCAAGTGCGTTGTTTTGGGAAAAAAAGTATCACAACCACGTGACTCCCGCCATTTTTCTCTCCTCTATATTTCTCCTTCCTCCCCAGTCCAGTTTCGGTTTCGAGCAGTTGCATTTTTTTACTTTATTAAAAATATATGTGACACTGTGGGAAAATATTGATTGGGTAGCCTTCTAACACCATAATGAATCGCCTGGCAAAAAATAAACAAATTTTGGGGGAGTCAGTGTCCTTTTAAGACTGCCTACGTGGAGGAAGGCAAAAGCATTATAGTACCGTGGGTCAAATACTTTCATGTAATGTTTCTACATGTATTAAAGTTTAGGACGACGTCCTAGAGATCGACGCCAAGTACGGCGTCTAGGACAACCTCTAGGACGACATCAAAGATGAAGTCTAGGACGATGCCAAGAATGACCTCTCTGACAACTTCTAGGATGACATCTAGGACGACCTTAAGGACGACGTTGAGAACGATGCCTAGAGGACAACATCGACAACAACGCACGTCTAGGACGACGTCGAGAACAACGCCTAAAGGACGACGTTTAGGATGACCTCTAGGACGACACCAGGGATGACATCGTCCTTCAGCATGCGATTGAGCGGCTGCCTGAGTGGTCACGTAAACGTTTTGGTACCTTTCGTATCGCCGACGAGTTTTCGCTCAAGGACTTTGAAGGTCGACTGAACGATGAGACATATAAGTAGGGTTCGGAGTTTTCGGTTTAAACCGATAAAAACCGATAAATTTACGCCGAATCCATTTTCGGAAATTCGGTTTTAACCGAAAAAGGTCAGTTTGTAGGTTCGTCATTTTCGGTTTAAACCGATCAAAAAGCATCTAGTCCGTTTTCTAAAATTCGGTTTTAACCGAAAAAGGTCAGTTTTTTAGTGCCGCGTCGAGGTGG